GAGTGACCGGCACAGGCAGCGGCATTGAGCAGGCCATGGTGAGGGCTCCGGATTGGGGGGCTCTGGGGCTGCCCTATGGGGGCAATGGGGTGATAAAAGGTAAAGGTGATAAAGGGATCTGTGAGGTGCTGGAGGGGGGGGGTGTGGGTACCCCCCGTGACCCCCCTCTCCGCCTCGTTTTAAGTAAAGCGAGTGTTTTGCAGCGCTGTTGTTAATTAACGATAATTAAAAAGGGGGGGGTAATGAGGGGGAGGAGGCGGGATTCGAACCCGCGTCCCTGTGAGCGCCGCCATGTTGGGAAGGGCTGTGGGAGTGGGCGCCATCTTGGGGGTGGGCCACATTGGTCGCCATCTTGGGGAGGGCACGGACCGGCGCCGCCATCTTGAGGAGGGAGCGGTGTGCGTCGCCATCTTGGAACGGTGAAGCGTGTGTGCCGCCATCTTGGAGAGGGTGTTCCTGCTGGAGGCCGCCTTCTTGGTAAGGGGCGTGGTCTGCACCGGAAAGGGCGTGTCCAACCGCCGACATGAGGCCGCCCGACGCCGCGCAGCCGCCGCCGCCACCGGGGGGGATCCTGCGGCGGAGGGGGGGGGAGCGCGGGGGATGCGGGCGGCAGGTCCGGACCCCACCATTGGGCCCTTAACAGGGGGGAAGGGGGCTGAGCCATGGTGGGGCCTCCCCCCTCACGCTCCCTCCACCCCCCACAGGTGCGGTTCGCGGTGGTGGGGCCCGGGCAGGACCATGAGGAGCAGCGCGGGGGGGCCCCGTTGGCGGCCCCGGTTCCCAACAGCTCCCGGGCGGCGGCGGCGGAGGCGCGGGGGGGGCCGGAGCCGTTCGATGCCCCCCGCGCGGCCGCGGCCCTGCTCGGGAGCTCGTTCGCTGCGCGCTGCGCCGTGGGGGGGGCGGCGGCCGCAGGTGAGGCCCTGCAGCAGGGGGGGATGGGGTTGGGGTTGTGTTTGTCTCCCTTCTCGTTTTAACCGAAATCCGCTCTTTTCACCCCGTTCCGCAGCCATGAACGTGCCCCCCGCGCAGCGCCTCTACCGCGGCCTCGTCAGCCTCGCCGTGCCCCCCCCGATGGGGCCCAGGAGGGGGGCGCTGCCCCACAGCGCGCCCCACAAGGTGAGAGCCGCCCCTCCCTGCACCCCAATACCCTCACCCCTGCTCCCCCCCGCACTGTGTTGGTCTTTTCCTCCCCCTCCTCCTCAGGTTCCCGGCCCTGCCATTGGCGCCCCTCCAGGGGGGGAGGGGGAGCCCTGGCTGCCCCCCTCCGCCCCCCTCGCTCCCCTCCGGCCCCTCCCCCGCCCCTCCGACGCCGCCTTCGTCATGTACCGGAAGCTGCAGCAGTGGGGGGGCGGCTGAGGGGGAGTCACCCCCTTCTCCACCCCCCCAAAATAAAGCCTTCTTTTCAAGCTTTGTGGGTGAATCGGGGGGAGGGGGGTTATTCATAGACGCCCCCCATTGGGGAATCCGTTCCCGTCAGCCATTGCGATAAACGGTGGAGTGATGATGGTCCAGGGTAAAAACTACAGCTCCCAGAATCCCTTGCGCATGTGCAGCGTCCATAGGCGGTGCCAGCGGGTCACTATGGTAACGGAGATGTACCATGGTGATGGTGCGGAGGGGGGGATATTTGCATCCGTGTCAATGGTAGCACTTGGAGACACCCTTTTGGGCTGTACCACTTGTGGTGGGGGGGAACACCACCCCTTGAACGATGGGTGAGACAGAATGGGCACAGATTTCTCCCCCCACATAGGGGGGACCAAAAATGGGCTGGACCAAAGTAGGTGACACCCCCACTTCCCCCCCCCAATGAAACGACCCCACATTGACCAATCACCTCCTTTATTCCCAACCCCCCCTCAGCACAGACCAAACCACCGCAAACACCCGCGGGGGAAGGGGGGCTGGGGTTGGAACACCCCAAAGTCGAGGGGGGGTGGATTCCCCCATTTGGCATCTTCTTCTGTGGGTGGGGGGGGAAGGAGCGAACCCCCCCCATTGGTGGCAGCAGGGTCCCCCCACAGTTGTGGGTCGTGGGGGGGCTCAGTGGGCGTTGCCTTGGCCCTTGTGGAAGAGATAAATGGGCCGCTGGAAGCCTGTGGGGAGAAAGGGGGGGGTCAGGAGCATCCAAAGTTCACCCCACACCCCCAGGATGTCCTTATGGGACCTACCCCCCCACATTTTACCCCATAGCCCCATCCTTGCCCCTCCAACCCACCCCACAGCCCCCCTCCAGATGCTCCCACCTTTGGCCGCATGCTGGGGGGTCCCCAGCAGCTCGTAGCTGTCGAACCCCACCTCGGGGGAGGTCAGGTAGGACGGGAACTGCTCCGGGCGCAGCCGGATCCGCTGGTAGTTCCGGTACGTGGTCTCCTAGAGGGGTGGCATAAAGTGAGCCCTGAGGACCAACCCCAAACCACCTCTGACCCCCTAAAACCAACCCTGACCCCCCTCCCCCCCCAAATACCCCCCCCACTCACGGTGAGCCCCTTGCGCTTGCGGTAGGAGGCCCATGGCTGTGGCTCCAGCAGCAGGAGCCCACCGGGGCGCAGGTGCCGGTAGACCCTGCGGAAGAGGCGCTTGAGGCCTTCGTCGCCCCAGTTCAGCTGCACCCACTTGGTGAGGGACAGGCAGAGAACGACGTCGAACTCCGGGCGCTGCGCGGCCACGGCCTCCTCGCGCTCGGGGACGTAGTTACCCTGCAATGGGGGGGGTGCAAACAAGCGCTTTGGATGGGGTTTAGCGGTGTCTTCCTCAGTCCCACCCTTTAAGCTCCTCCCCTCTCTAAGCCCCACCCTGTACCCAAACTCTTCCAATCCCCCCCGACCCCCAAACCCTGTCCCAAAACCCACTGTATTCAACCCAAAACCCCCTTATGACCCCCAATCCTCACCATCACCCCCACAAATCACCACCAGCCCCCTCCCCTACATAGAACGCTCCCATATCCCTATATAACGCTCCATATCCCTATATAATGCTCCCATATCTTTTATAACCCCCCCACATCCCTCCCCGACCTTACTTTGCCTCCCCGCGAGACCTCCCCCAACCCCCTTCCAGGCCTCCCACAGACCCCCCCCACCCCGGGTACCCCCCCCAAGCCCCCCTTTAGGCCCTCACCGTCACGAACACGACGTTGTGCGGGAAGTCGGCGGCCCCGGGCCCGTCGGGGGGCAGGCGGGGGGCAGCGATGGGGCCGCGACTGGCGAGCAGAGCCGCAGGAAACCCCTTCCTCCCTCCTCCTCCTGCTGCCGCCTCCCCCCCGCCCGCCTCGGCCTGGATCTCCTCCGACAGGTAGTGCCGGATGTTCTGCCGGGCCGAGCGAATCAACCCCCCGTCAATGTCCAGCCCCACCACCCGGGCGGGCCCCCAGCGCTTGGCGATGCTCAGGGTCAGGTGCCCCACGTTGCAGCCCACGTCCAGCACCTCCTTTCCCGCGAACCACTCGGGCCGCATGGCGCGGAGCCGCCCGTCCTCGCAGTCGGGGTTCCGGTACCCGTAGTATTTGCAGTAATTCCCGTACTGGAACTTCCGAGCCTGCCGCCGCGGAGGGGTTTTCCCGGGCGGTTTCGGCTTCTCCGGTGGAGGCCGCGTCCCTTCCGATTTACTGCAAGTCCGTCGGCGCTTGCGATGCCGGCCGGGCCCGGGGCAGGCGGCGGTGGCGGCGGTGGCAGCGGCGGCGCACGGGGGGGTGCTGGCGGCGGGGAGGGCGTGCGGGCAGGCGGCCTCATCGGGGCCGGACGCGGCGGGACCGGAGGCGGAGGCAGCGGAGGCAGCGGAGGCAGCAGAGGCGGCGCTCGCTCGCTGCTGGCCGCGGTGGCGGTGTCGCCGTCGGGAGGACTTGGCCGGGGAGGCCAAGCGGAGGCCGTCGCCCGGCGCGTTGAGGCTGAGCGGGTCGGTGATGTCCCGGGGCACCAGGATCTCCACCGGGTCGCGGCCGCGGGCGGGCAGCGGGGAGCTCTGCGGGGTGCGCGCGTTCAGGGCCCGGCTCACCTCCTCGTCCAGGAGGCTGTTGAGGTTGAGCGGGTCGAAGATGTTCCCCCCGAGCAGGAACTCGGACGGCAGCACCGGGCCGCACTCCGAGGCCGCCCGGCGCCGCCGCTTCCACGCCGGCTGCTTGGCGCCGCAGCTGCTACGCCGCTTGCCCCCCCCCGCCGACCGGAAGCCGTTGCGGGGCCGCGGGGGCTCGGCCGCTTCCTCCTCCTCGTCCTCCCGCCGCGCTCCGGCCGCACCGGAGGAGGAGGCTGGAGGCGGAGGCACCAGGAAGGCCTCAGGCTCGGCCGCCATAGCGGACCGCCCCGCGCATGCGCGATGCGCGCCGGCTCCTCCGCGCATGCGCGCCGCCGCTAGGGGGTGCTATGCGCGGCGCGACGCAGCCGGACCCCTCCGCGCCCGCCACCTCCCTCCCGCGATGGCAGCAGCGCGCCGGCCCGCCGCGCGTTATATAGGCGGTGGGCGGGGCCCGGCGGGACCACGCCTCCCGAGCAGGGGCGGGCGGCAGCTCGTAGCCAATAGAGGGCGAGTCCTCGCGGGAAGACGCCAATCAGAGCGTGGCGGCCCGCGGAGGGAAGGCGGGGGCTTGGAGAATACGGGGTGGCCGCGACGAGTGCCTGCTCGAGGGCGCAAACCTAACGGCGGCGCGGGGAAGCGGAGAGAGGCGGGGGGAAGCGGTTGTGCGGAGCGGGGAGGGGGCGCGGGCCGCGGCGGCGGCGGCAGGGACGAGAGAGCAGGGGCAGAGCGGGGGGAGGTCGGAGCAGGCGCGACGAGGACGCCATCGGGGGGGATCGGTGAGGGGTCCTCAGGGCGCATCGCGGGGAGGGGGCTCTGCGCATGCGCAGACTGCCCTCCAACCCAGCCCCCCCCCCCCTTTGGGGCATGCGCGCTGCGGTGCGCGGGAAAGCGTTGAGGTGGAGCCCGCGCCGCGACCCCCCCCGCAGCGTCCGGACGCCGTTTTTGAGGTAAAAAACCCTCAAATCGGTCAAAACCCCCTCACTTTGCGTCATAAAATCACCCTCCCCGCTCCCTCCAACGCCTCATGCCCGCACACAACCGCGGTCTGCGCTCGAAGGCGTTTATTGGGGCGCGCTCAGGGGCACTTGCGCTCCACGCACTGCTTCCCCCCCTCCTCGTACTCCTGCTTCGAGATCCACATCTGCTGGAACGTGCCCTGGGGGGTCACACAATGGGGGGGGTTATGGGGCTGGGACCCACAGCGGGACACCCCCCCTTGGTCCTGCCCGTGGCACCCACCAGGGAGGCCAGGATGGAGCCCCCGATCCAGGGGCTGAAGCGCCGCTCCATGGTGCTGTTGCTGGCGATCAGCTTCAGGCGCATGCTCTGAAAGGGGGGGGGAAGGGGATTATGGGGTGTGGGGCAGGGCCAGCCCCATAGATCCCACACAGAGGCCCCCCCCTGCCCTCCAAGCCCCACACAGGGCCCTCACTGGAGGTGTCTTCTGTGACAGCTCCCGGTTGAGGCGGTCGGTGAAGCCCTGCAGCAGCGTGTTCCCCCCGGTGACAATGACGCTGCCATAGAGACCCTATGGGGATGGGGGGGGACAGACAATGTGGGGGGGTCACCTCTGAACCCCCACCTCTACCCCATAGCCCTCCCCCATAGGCCTGGGCACTCACTGGTCTGATGTCGATGTCACACATCCCGATGCTGGTGGTGACCACGTGCCCCACACCCAGCATCGTGTTCCCCGAGAGACCCTGGGGGCGATGGGGGGGTCAGAATAGGGCTGAGATCCCCCATATGCAAACACCCCCCTCCAGGACCCCCTGCACCCCCAAACCTTCACGTTGGAGGGGTCAAAGAGCCCCTCGGGGATGCGGAGCCGCTCGGCCCCATAGTCTGTGTTGTAGCCATTGGGCATCTCATAGTGAACTGTGGGCATCTGAGCGGCCACCCTGGGGGGGGCAGATCAAAGAGGGGGGTATATGGGGGGGGAACCCCTAAACCCCCCTCTAAGCCCCACCCCGGAGCCCGCAGCACTCACTGCTCGTCATATGGGGAGTCTGAGACCTGCAGAACGGAGGCTTGGAAGTCCTGGATCACCTCCTGAGGGTGGGGAGGACACAAAGTGGAGCCCTCTGAATGGCTCCTGGGGTCCAGGAACCCCAATAAGGGACTCAGGGGTCAAGGAAGCCCCACTAAGGGACCCAGGTATACGGGACCCCCCCAGTAAGGGACCCAGGGGTCAAAGAAGTCTCAATAAGGAGCCCAGCCATATGGGATCCCCCCAGTAAGGAACCCAGATATATGGGACCCCCAAATAAGGGATCCAGATAGATGGGACAACCCAAAATAGGACCCAGTTACGTGGGAACCCCCAGTAAGGAACCCAGCCATATGGGACCCCCCCAAATAAGGAACCCAAGTATATGGGACCCCCCCAGTAATGAACCAAGCCATATGGGACACCCCCAAATAAGGAACCCAAGTATATGGGACCCCCCCAATAAGGGACCCAGCCATATGGGGCCCCCAAAAATAGGACCCAGATATATGGGGCCCCCCCATACATTGCAGGTGAAGTTGTGCCAGGACTTGGAGACCTGCGGCAGCTTCTCCTTCTTCTTCCAGTTGGGGGGAGCCCCCTCCCGCACCGGCTCCTGGGGGCGGGGCCTCGGCCCCATAGCAATCAGCGGGGTGGTGCCGAAGTGGGCGTGGCCAATGGCAGAGTGGATGGAGCCTAACAGCTGCCTTCTCTCTGATAGGCTGTTGGCCAAGGGGGCGTGTCCCCGCCTCAAGCCCCGCCCCTACCTTGGCGGCAATCATGTATGGGGGCACGATGTCGATGTTCATCTCCTGGAAGAGCTCCCGGCACTGCATGGAGATGAAGTCCCCGGCCAGTGGCGACTTGACGATGCCTGCGGCAGCCAATGGTGAGTGGAGGAGCAGCGCTGGCCCCACCCCCTGCCCCCCCCAGGCCCCGCCTCCCGGCTCACCCTGCTGCAGGATGTAGCCGTCGTGCACGGGGATGGCGGTCGTGTGCGTGGCGCCGCTGTCCAGGACCAGCCCCGTGCTGCGCCCATTGGCAAAGCTGCGCCCTCGCCGTCAAGGGGCGACAACGGGGGGCTTGTGGTGACCCGGGTGCCCCATAGGGCACCCCATAGAGCACCCAACCATGCACCCCAAAGAACACATCATAGAGCACCCAACCGTGCACCCCATAGAGCACCAAACCATGCACCCAAGCACCCCATAGAGCACCCAACCATGCACCCAAGCACCCCATAGAGCACCCAGCCATGCACCCCAAAGAACACGTCATAGAGCACCCAACCGTGCACCCCATAGAGCACCAAACCATGCACCCCATACAACACTCCATAGAGCACCCTACTATGCCCCCCATAGAGCACCCTATAGAGCACCCAACCATGGACCCTATAGAACACCCTGTACAACACCCAAAAATGCACCCAAGCACCCCATAGGGCACCCAGCCGTGCCCCCAGACACCCACCCCATAGAGCACCTAGCCATGCACCCAAACATCCCATAGAGCACCGAAACATGCACCCCATAGAACGCCCCATGGAACACCCAACCATGCACACAAACACCCACCCCATAGAGCATCCAGCCATGCACCCCATAGAACACTACATAGGGCACCCAAACATGCACACAAACACCCCACAGAACACCCAGCCATGCACCCACTCAGCTCTAGACCCATCCACCCAGGTCTAAACCGACCCAGACACCTCTAGATCCACCCAGGGCGAGGTTTGGCGTTGGTGTGAAGGTGCCATTGCCGGGTGCCACCATTGGGTGCCACCGTGGGGGGGATACGCGGTGAGCACGGCCGTTTTGCAGAGGAAGAAGGCCGGGATGTTGTAGTGCTCGAACATCAGCTCCGTCAGTTTCTCCCTCTTGGCACGAGTGTTCCACTGCGGGGACGGGGGGGAGCCCGATGGGACACGTGGGGGGACGTGGGGGGCACTGGCACCGAGGCGGGGAGGGGTGCACCTACCGGGGCCTCGGACATGAGGACGGGGTGGAGACCCGGCTCCGACTTGACGTGTTTCCCATAGGTGTGGTCCAGGATGGCCTGGAAGCACTCCCAGTCCTCGACTGGGGGCATGGGGACACATGGGGCGACCCCAGCCCCATGGGAGCTTCCACTGGGTGACCCCAGCCCCAAGGTGGCTTCCATTGGGTGACCTCAACTCCATGATGGCTTCCTTTGGGTGACCCCACCCCTATGGGGGCTTCCATTGAGTGACCTCCAACCCTATGGTGGCTTTCATTGGGTGACCCCAACCCCATGGTGGCTTCCGTTGGGTGACCCCAACCCCATGGTGGCTTCCATTGGGTGACCACCCACAACCCCATGGTGGCTTCCATTGGGTGACACCAACCCCATGGTGGCTTCCATTGAGTGGCCCCAACACCATGGCAGCTTCCATTGGGTGACCCCCAACCCCATGATGGCTTCCGTTGGGTGACCCCAACCCCATGGTGGCTTCTATTGGATGACCCTCACCCCCATGGTTGCTTCTGTTGGGTGACCCCAACCCCATCTGGCTTCTATTGGGTGACCCTCACCCCCATGGTTGCTTCTGTTGGGTGACCCCAACCCCACGGTGGCTTCCACTGGGTGACCCCCAACCCCATGGTGGTTCCCCATGGCCCTAGGGGGGGTCCCCACTCACTCATGCCATTCTTGAGGGGCGAGAGCACCTCCATGCCCTCGCGGGCCACGTGCAGCGCGTTGGTGTCGATGTAATAGACCTTGCCCCCCTTCTTGTCCTTGTCCCCATCCAGCTCCAGGGCCACCTCCTCAGGGGACAGCAGCCCCACGGTGGTGGGGAAGTCTGCCTGTAGCCACCCCATGGACGTGGCATGAGGGTGGTGACCTCAGGGAAACCATGGCCATGGGGATGGCACCATGATGGGGACATTGGCCTATGGTGATGGTTTTGGGGACACCACCATGGAGGCACTGGGGGTGTTGGGGGGGAAGGGGGGGGGGAACAGGCAATGTTGTGATGACATGTGATGACATACAGTGACATGTGATGGCATATAATGACATGACAGGACATGAGATGGCATACAATGACATGTGATGGCATATAATGACATGACAGGACATGTGATGGCATACAATGACATGTGCTGGCAGGACATGTGATGACATATAATGACATGTGATGACACAGAATGATAGTGATGGCATACAATGACCTGATGACATACAATGACGTGCGATGGCATATGATGGCATACAATGACATGTAAAGACATGCGATGACACATGATGACATAGAATGACATGTGATGACAGGACATTTAATGACATGCAGTGACATGTGATGGCATACAATGACATGTGATGGCATACAGTGACACGCGATGACACATGATGACATACAATAACATACGACGGCAGGACATGTGAAGACATACAATGACATGTGAAGACGTACAATGACATGTGATGACATACATTGACATGTGATGACATACAGTGACATGTGAAGACATACAATGACATGTGAAGACATACAATGACATGTGATGACATACAGTGACATGTGATGACATACAATGACACGTGATGCCATACAATGGCACCCACCTTGGGGCAGTCCTCCCCGGCGTACCCAGCGCGCACCGAGAAGGAGCCGATGTCGAACACCAGGGCCCCGACCTCATCTGGGATGCGGGGGGGGGGGAATCACGGTGACACCGGGACCCCCCGTCCCCCCCCACCCGGTAACACGGTGCCCCCCACCCCCAACCCCGCCGGCCACGCCCCCTCCCTCTACGCCACGCCCCCTCCCCGAGGCCACGCCCCCTCCCGCGCCGTGTCGCCCCCTACCGCCGCCGTAGACCCCCCCGCTCATGGCGGCGGCCGCGCGTTCAGCACTGGACAGCGCCCGCCGGCCGCGGTAGGCGGGGCCAGCGGCGCGCAGCCAATGGGCGGCCGCCGTGCGCCGCGCTCGCTGATTGGTCGCCTCCGCAGACAATGCTTTAAAGGGGCAGGCGCCGTTTTTGTTGTGAATAAGGGGTCTCCATGGCAACGGGTTTAAAGAGGAAGGGGCTGTACTCGTCGCCATGGAAACAGGCCAGGGGAGGGAGGGGAGACAGCTCAGGTTTCCATAGAAACAGCCCGGGAGAAAATAGGGGGCTGTTATGTCGTCACCATGGCAACGGGGGGGTGTATTTGTCAGGTTCCAAGATGGCGGCTCCTGCGGTCACGTGGCGTGCAGCGCCGCCAATGGGCGAAGCCGTCCGAAGGGAGGGGGCGGGTCCAAGCTACCGGAAGCGGAAGTGAACCGGCGGCGGGGACGCGGCGAGGTGCTGGCGGGGGGCGGGAGCGGAGTGTGGCGTGGGGGCCTATCGGGGACCGGGGGGATCTATGGGGTCTATGGGGCTTGGCACAGGGGTTATGGGGGTCTATAGGGGCCTGGGAGGGGTCCATGGGTGTCTGTGGGACTGGAGGGGGTGTAAAGGGGTTTATGGGGGGGGGGGCTATGGGGCTGTGGAGCTTGGGACAGGGGTTATGGGGTGTCCGGAGGGGTCTGTAGGGGCCGGGGGAGTTCTATGGAGTCTGTAGGGCTTGGGCTGGGGGAACTCTAAAGGGGTCTATGGAGCGTTTTGGCAGGTCTATGGGGCTTGGGATGGGGGTTATGGGGTGTCTGTGGCGCTCGAGGAGGGCCCTGGATAGTCCCTATGGGGCACCCAGGGTCTGTGTGGGGCTATGGGTAGCTTATGTGGGTCCGGGATGCCTGGATGTGCCCCTGACCCCCCCATGTCCCCCCATAGAATGTCCTCAGGACCTACAGCAGCTCCGGGGGGGGGCTCCCCGGCCCCGCGGGGGGTTGACCCCCCCCCTTCCCGTTGCCGCCGCCGCCGAGGCCTGGCCCCGCGTCCCCCCTTCATCCCCCCCCCCTCCTCCTCCTCCTCTTCCTCGGCCCCCCCCACGGACGTGTTCGTGACGGCCAGAACCGACTTCCGGGCCCAGCTGCGGCGCTGCCAGCGCCTCCTGGCGCCGTCGGGGGGGGGTTCGGCAGCGGCCCCCCCCTCCGAGCTGCGCCTGCACGGGCTGGGCCTGGCCGTGCCCCGCGCCATCAACCTGGCCCTGCAGCTGCAGGCGGCCGCCCCCGGCGCCCTCCGGCTCCACGCCAGCACCTCCTCCGTCACCCTGCCCCCCCCCGGGCCGCCCCGGCGCCGCCGAGGGCCCCCCCAGAGCCACGAGGAGGAGGAGGAGGAGGAGGAAGATGAGGATGAGGAGGGGGCAGCCCCGCGGCCCCGCCATAACTCGGCCATTCACATCCGGGTGTGCAGGGAAGCGCCCTGTGCCTGAGCAGCACCCATGAGTGCTATGGGGCACCCACAGCAGGAGGCTCCAGAGCCATGCAGGACCCGAGGACGTGGGGACACCGGGAGCCACGGAGATGGCAGCACGGGGACATGGGGACACCCGGATGTCACCACAGAGCCACCAATGAGCCGGGGACGCCGAAACCCACCAGGACCCGAGACCACCACCGTGAACTCGTTCCATGGTCACCAAGGTGCCACCAAGCCCTGAATGCCCCCCCCCACAGTGGACTTGGATTGGGGGGGGACACAAACACACAAGGACCCCCCCAATAAACCTGGTGGTGGCAACGGTGACACTTTGGGGGCGGAGCCTAAGGGGGGGCGGAGTTTGTTTGGGGCCGGGGTGGGGGGGGGACCCCGGGCTTCCTCCGCGTCATTGGTGACCTTTGGGGCAGGAAACCCCCCATGGACCCGGCGTCAGCGGTGGGGAGGGGGACAGACGGACGGGGACGGACTCCACCACTGCCCCCCTGTTGTGGGGGGGTCCTGGCCCTGCCGCTGTCCCCGTGTCCCCGGCCACCCCCCCCCGCCGCCCTTTGTCCCCGCTGGCGCCGCGGGGCTGGAGCCATGGCCGGGCCGTGTGGTTCCGCACGTAGGGGCCTGGCAGGGGCCCAGCTCCGGCCACCCCCCCCCCCCCCCCCGGCCCATGGCTGGGGGTCCCCACCGGGGGACATCCCCCCCCCCCGGCATTGGGACCCAGTGACGTTGGCCCCATTGTTTGGGTGCTTCCGGTGCTGGGGGGGGACACGGGCACCCCCCCTTGCACACACGTGTGTTTGGGGCCGGCTGTCCCCGTGTCACCCTGGTACCAGCACGGGTGTCCCCGAGGCCACGTGGGGCTGGCTCATCCCCATCCCATCGCTCTGGGTCCCTACCCCACACCCTATCCCATTCCCTGTCTGTGCCCACGTCTCATCCCGCATCCTTGGGCCATCCCCGTGGCCCCATCCTGGGCTGTGTCCTCATCCCTGTCCTGGTGTCCCCCTTCAGTCCCAGGTCCTCATCCGTGTCCCCATTCCCATGTTAACCCCCATCCTTGTCTCCCCATCTCTGTCCTAGGCTATACACCTGTGTCCTCATCCTGGTGTTAAATCCCCATGTTAAACCCCATCCCTGTCTCCATCCCTATTCACTCCTCACAATCCCATTCCCACGTCCCCCCCATGTTGCCTGCCTTGTCCCTATTCCCATCCCTTTCCCCATTCCCATCCCTGTCCCAATTCCCATGTTAATCCCTATCTCCATCCCCATTCACTCCCCACAATCCCATTCCCATGTCCCCCCACATTTACCCCCCCCCAGCCCCATGTCCCTATCCTTGCCTTTGTGTCCCCATTCCCGTCCCTTTCCCCATTCCCATCCCTTTCACCATTCCCATCCTTTTCCCTATTCCCATCCCTGTCCCCATTCCTTTTCCCCTCTCCCCTCCCGCCCGGTGCCCCCCCCCCCCCCTATTGCCGCCACCGCGGCGCCGGGGCCGGGGCCGGGGGTGGCCCGTGGCCAGCGCAGACGTGCTGGGGCCAGCGCGGCCTTTTCCTCGATGGCCGGGCCCGGAGGGGGGGGGGGCCCGGACGGGAAAACCCCCCCCCAAAGGGCGCTTCCGGCCCCGCGGCCCCTCGGATCAAACATTAACCGGGGCCGGGGCCGGGGGACGCGGCCGCCGCTGCCGGGGCCACCCAGGGACCCCCCCGTGCCATGAGCAGCAGCCATGGGGGCCGCGGGTGAGTGCAGGGGGCACCCATTCATTGCAATGGGGGGGACCCGGGTGAAGGGGGTGGGGGGGGGCACCCAGGACCCTGGGTTCATTCATAGCAATGGGGGATGTGGGTGTTGGGGGGGTCCCAGAAGGTCACTTCGAGGGGGCACCCAAGACCCTGGGTTCATTCATAGCAATGGGGGATGTGGGTGTTGGGGGGGTCCCAGAAGGTCACTTCGGGAGGGCACCCCAGACCCTGGGTTCATTCATAGCAATGGGGGATGTGGGTGTTGGGGGGGGTCCCAGAAGGTCACTTCGGGAGGGCACCCCAGACCCTGGGTTCATTCATAGCAATGGGGGGGGGGGTATTCTGGGGGGTACCCACGTGTATAGGGAGGCTGGGTTCATTCATTGCATTGGGGTCCTGGCTGTTTGGGAGGTTCCAAGTGTATGGGGCGGTGTCCCTGTTTTGGGGGGGTCTCAGGTATAAGAGGGAGTACCTGTTCTGGGGGCGCAGTCCTAAGGCGTTACAAGTGGGGGAGCACCCATGTGTGTGGGGACCCCAAGAGCCTGGGTTCATTGATACCAATGGGGGACATGGGTCTTGGGGGGGGGGGTCTCGGGTATATGGGTGGCCCCCACGTGTGTGGGGACCCCAAGGGCTGGGTTCATTCATTGCAATGGGGGGACCTGGGTGTTTGGGGCATTCCAAGTGCATGGGGGGGGTCCCTGTTTTTGGGGGGTCTCAGCTTTAAGGGGAGGGTCCCTATTCGGGGGGGGGGAATTTTAGGGGGTTACAAGTGGAGGGGCACCCATGTTTCTGGGGACCCCAAGACCCTGGGTTCATTGATAGCAATGGGTTTTAACCCAGGTGTTTGGGGGTGTCCCTCACCCCCCCCCCCAGGGCTCTGCTCGCTGCTGCTGCTGCTGCTGTTGGGGGTCCCCGGGCACCCCGAGGGCCCCCCCCCACTCTGCGACCCCCGCGTGCTGGAATGGTTCATCCTGGAGGCGCGCGACGCAGAGAGGGCGCTGGTGAGGGGGGGAACAGCCGGGGGGGGGGGCGCGGGGGTCGTGGGGGACAAGGTGGGGGGGCCTGGGGATGCCGGTGCCGGGGGTGACAGCATCCCTGTGCCCCCCCCCCCCAGGCCAGCTGTGGACCACAGTGTGAGCTGCCCGAGGCGGTGCCTGTGCCCTACCCCGGAGTGAACTTCAATGAATGGCCACGGCTGGAGGTGATGGGAAGGGGGGAAAATGTGGGGAAAAAAGGGGGGGAGATGGGGAAAAATATCGGGAAATGGGGAAAAATGTGGGGAAATAGGGAAACATAGCGGGAAATGGGGTAAGTGCAGAAAAATGGGGAAAATGGAGGAAATAAGGAAAAGCATGGGGAAAAAAGGGGAAAAAATGTGGGGGAAATGGAGGAAAAGAAGGAAAAAATGATGAAATGGGGGAAAAATGGGGAAAATAGGGATAACGGGGGAATAGGGAAAAGCATGGGAGGAAATAGGGAAGCATGGAGGGAAATAGGGAAAGCATGGGGGAAATGGGGAAAACATGGGATTAATAGGGAAAAAATGGTGGCAAATGAGAAATCTGGGAAAGTGAAGGATATAGGGAAAATATGGGGGAAAATGGGGGAATAGGGAAAAGCATGGGGGGAATAGGGGCACATGGGAAGAAATAGGGAAAGCATGGGGGACCAGGGAAAAATGGCGGGAAATGAAGGGAAACAGCATGGGAAAATAGGGGAAAATGGTGGGAACTGGGGAAACAATGGGGGGCAATGGGATAAACTGGGGGTGATGGGGGGCTTCCCCCCCCGTGACCCCGCCCCCCCGCAGGCCGCGGCGCGCGCCCAGGACGTGCGCGGGGGCGTGGCCACGCTCGAGGCCGCGGTGCAGCGCGCGCGGGAGCTGCTGCCGGACCCGCGCCTGCGCCCCCTGCTGGAGCGCGCCAACAGCGCCGCGCGGAGCCTGGCGCGGCTGCTGCGGGAGATGACTGCGCAGGTACGGGGGGGCCTATGGGGGGGTCCATGTCCTGCTAAGGGGGGGGTTCCATGTCCTGCTATGGGGGGAGTCCATGTCCTGCTATGGGGGGAGTCCATGTCCTGCTATGGGGAGATCCATGTCCTGCTAAGGGGGGGGTTCCATGTCCTGCTATGGGGGGAGTCCATGTCCTGCTATGGGGAGATCCATGTCCTGCTAAGGGGGGGGTTCCATGTCCTGCTATGGGGGGAGTCCATGTCCTGCTATGGGGAGATCCATGTCCTGCTAAGGGGGGAGTCCATGTCCTGCTATGGGGAGACCCATGTCCTGCTATGGGGATATCCATGTCCTGCTATGGGGGGTTCCATGTCCCGCTATGGGGGGCTCCATGTCTTGCTATGGGGTGGGTAATGGAGGGTCCCTGACCTCATCATGTTCCTTCCGCCCCCCAGGTCGCCCCCTCAAGCGCCCCCCCCCGGCAGTGGCAGGTCCGGAGCCTGGGCCGGCTCCTGGCTGTTCACAGCAGCTTTCTCCATGGGAAGGTCCGGCTCTTCCTCATGGACGCCTGTCGGCAGTGACCGACAGCAGCCAATCAGCCATTGGTATGGCAGACAGCAGCCAATCATCCATCAGCACATGCCTGACAGCAGCCAATCACCCATCAACGTGGGAGAGAACGGCCAATCATCTATCAGCACATGCCTGACAGCAGCCAATCGCCCATCAACATGGGAGAAAGCAGCCAATCACCCATCAGCGGATGACAGGCGGCAGCCAATCACCCATTGACAATGGCAGGCGGTTATCCATCACCCCCCCACCCTGTTCCCTGCGGAGCCTCCCCCCGGCACGTTGGACGTGCCGGCAGGTGACTGACAGCCTCCCCCCCCCGGGCCACCCCATGGACACCGGGAGCTGTCACTCAGGGGAGACGCGGCCCCACAGCAGCGATGTCTGAGTCCGAGCCCCCCCCGTGTGTGTGTGAGACCCCCGTAACTTAATGCGAACACGAGAGTATTTATCTGAGCTCATTCATTGATCTCAGCTCATTCACAACAACCTTCACCCCCCCAGCACACATGGGATCCGCCCATTGCCTTTGGGTCCCCCCCATTCCCTTTGGCATGCCCACATTGTCTTTGGACCCCCCCCCATTGCCTTTGGGAGACCCCCTATTGCCTCTGGGACCCCCTCATTACCTTTGGAACCCCTTTATTGCCTTTGGGACCCACCCACTGCCTTTGGGGCCCTCCCTTCCCTTTGGAACCCTCCCATTTCCTTTGGGACCCCCCCATTGCCTTTGGGAGCCCCCCATTGCCTTTGGACTCCCCCCCATTGCCTTTGGGACCCTCCAACTCCATCCCACCCCCACGTGGTCAGTGACCGGGGTCAGATAAGGTGCAGCCAGACCTGGTGGCGCCAGGGCAGGGCCTCCCGCGAAGCCACGCCCTCCTCCCTGAAGCCACGCCCCCCTACAGGTGCAGCCATTCACTGCTTCCTGACGAGGCCACGCCCCCTCCATTCAATTCCCCCGTCCGAAGCCACGCCCGTTCCCGCGCAGACCATGTCCCTTCCAGCCTCTGGCCACGCCCCTTTTTCGCGCCTCCCGGGGAGGGCGGGAGCAGAGCAGGAGCGAGCGGCCGAGGGGTGAGCGCGGAAAGGGGGGGCCTGGGGGGGAGTTTGGGGTGGTCAAAGGGAAATTAAAGGGGTTGGGGGGGGATATGGGGATGGGGGAGACACCGGGAGGGGGTTGGGGGGCGGGGAAGAGAGACCGGGAGCAAAGTCCACCCCATGGAGGAGGAGGGGGACAAACCGAAGGACCCCCCCAGGGCGCCCCCGAACCAATGGAGACCCTGAGGCGCTGCTTTCATAGACGGGTAAGGGCCCCCCCAAAACAAGTGGTCCCATGACACACACCCCCCCCCCGGGTGATGACGTAACCGGTGACATCATCGCAGCCCCTGGGGGGAGGGGCGGTGTTGTATTCCCGCCACCAGGATGAAGAAGAGGAAGGGGAGGGGGGGGCAGGAGCCGCAATCGTGCGGCTGCCTAGGCCCCGCCCCCGAGGCAGGCTCCACCCCCACGTGACGTTGGCGCTGGGCTCCGCCTCCGCCTTCCTGGCAGGTAGGGACCCCTGAAACCCCATTGCACCCCATTGAACCCCACTGCAACCCACTGCACCCCATAGCACTCCATTGCACCCCACTGAATCGCATTGCAATCCATTGCACCCCATTGCAACCCAGTGCACCCCATAGCACTCCATTGCACCCCACTGAACTGCATTGCAATCCATTGCACCCCAATGCAACCCATTGCACCCCAGTGCACCCCATAGCACTCCATTGCACCCCACTGAACTGCATTGCAATCCATTGCACCCCATTGCAACCCATTGCACCCCAGTGCACCCCATAGCACTCCATTGCACCCCACTGAACTGCACTGCAATCCATTGCACCCCATTGCAACCCATTGCACCCCAGTGAACCCCATAGCACTCCATTGCACCCCACTGAACTGCACTGCAATCCATTGCACCCCATTGCAACCCATTGCACCCCAGTGCACCCCATAGCACTCCATTGCACCCCACTGAACTGCACTGCAATCCATTGCACCCCATTGCAACCCATTGCACCCCAGTGCACCCCATAGCACTCCATTGCACCCCACTGAACTGCATTGCAATCCATTGCACCCCATTGCAACCCATTGCACCCCAGTGCACCCCATACAACTCCATTGCACCCCACTGAACTGCATTGCAATCCATTGCACCCCATTATCCCCTCACCCCATTGCATCCCACTGCTCCCCCCATTTCCTCCCCATGTGGCCCAGCCCCCTGAGGCCCAGCCCCCTCCCGCAGGGCTCCTGGTGGCCGCTCTTGGCCACGCCCCCTGCAGGGGAGGGGCTTGGGCGGGGCCGTCCCCTCCTGGCCCCGCCCCCGAGGAGGACCCAGGGGGCGTGGCCATCGCCGGGGCCCCGCCCCCGTGGCCGCGCCTGCGGGAGCTGCTGCAGCGCCACCTGCTGGAGGAGCGCATCGAGGCCTGGGTGCGGTGCGTGCCCCCCCCACCGGACCCCCTGCCCCCCCCCCCGTGACCTTTGACCCCGGCGTGACCCCGATGACCCTGCAGGGAGATCAGCGCGGGGCCACACGGGGCGGGGTCGGAGCGGGGGCGGGGCCTGGCGGGGGCGGTGCTGGAGGCCATGGAGGGGGCGGGGCTGAGCCGGGCCTGGAGCCGCCCACAGCCCCTCCCCCTCCCCACACGGTACCGGGGTCCGGGGGCATGGGTGGGGTCAAGGGTCATGGGGGTCACTCGGGGTCTCAGGGAGGAGGAGGTCACAGGGGTCATGGAGGGTTATGGGTTGGGGTCACAGAGGTCGGGGGGTCATGGGGGGGTGGCGGGGTCACGGTCAAGGGGTCACAGGAGCTGGGGGAGAAGGGGGAGGGGCTCGGAGGGGTCACAGGGTCACAGGAATCAAGGGGTCAGGGGTCTTGTGGGGAAGGGGCTGGGGTCACAGACGTCACGGGGGGTCAAAGGGAGGTCAAAGGGTGGGGGCTCCCAGCAGGTCAAAGTTCACCGGGGTCATGGGGGATGGGGGTGGTGGGTCGGGGAGGGGTCATGGGTGTCTGACCTCTGACCCCTGACCTCCGACCCCACAGGGGGTCAGCGTCACTGCAGTGGGTGGACGGGGGGGGCCGGGAGCTCGAGCGGCTCCGCTTGGACCCGGAGGCCTTTTGTGCATGGAGCGCCCCTGGCAACGCCACGGTGACCCCTGACCCGCCCCCCCGACCCTAACCCTCACCTCTGACCCCCCGCTGACCGCTGACCTCTAACCCTCTGCAGGGGGGGCTGGTCTATGGGCATTACGGGCGCCCCCAGGACCTGGCGCTGCTGCGGGCCCGGGGGGTGCCCCCCCGTGGGAACCTGCTCCTGGTGCGGCTCGGGCGCGGCCCCCCCGCCGCCAAGGTGAGCAATGGGGGGGGCTATGGGGTGGACCCTATGGGGGTGCCTATGGGGAGGTCCCTATGCGGGTACCTGTAGGGGTGCCTATGGGGGTACCTATGGAGGGGTCTCTATGGGGGTGCCTATAGGGGTACCTATGGGGAGGTACCTATGAGGGTCTCTACTGGGAGTGCCTATGGGGATACTTATGGGGAGTCCCTATGGGGGTGCCTACAGGTGGGCTCCTTATGGGTCTCAGAGGATCCGCGGGGGGCACGGGAAGGTACCAGAGTCCCCCACTATACCTGTCCCCCCAGGTGGCAGCAGCGGCGGGGGCAGGGGCTCTGGGGGTGCTGCTGTACCCGGACCCCCAGGACACGGCCGGGCCTGGCGGGGACCCTGGCTTGGGGGGGGACACGGCTGTGACTGTGCACGTGAGTGGGGGGGCAGTGGGGGGTGTCAGTGGGGTGGGGGGGAGGATTTGGGGGGGCCTGGGGAGGTTTGGGGTGTTGGGGGGGTTGGGTTTGATGTGGGTCTATGGGGGGGATCTGCACTATTGGGGTGCTGTGTGGGGGTAACCCCGGTTCTGACCCAACCCTGCAGCTCCAGGAGGGCTCGGGTGACCCCTACAGCCGAGGCTTCCCCTCCTTCACCGGCCGAGCTCCCCCCGGGCCCCCCCCGGGGGTCCCCCCCATCCCCGCGCACCCCATCAGCGCCAACACGGCCGCGCGGCTCCTCCGGTGGGTATCCCCCCCCCACATCACCCCCGGGTCCCCCACTGGGGGAGATCCCTGTGACCCCTATGGGGGTGCTCACGTTCCACCCCCCCCCCCCCATTGCAGGGTTCTGGGGGGCCCCCGGGCCCCTGCGCGCTGGGGGGGACCCTCGCGGGGGCTTTGGTACCGGCCGGGCCCGGGGGGGCGGCGGATCCGGCTCAGCGTGGCCGCGGGGACCGAGCCCGGGACCCTCACGAGCGTCTTCGGGGCCCTGGAGGGGCGGCTGGAGCCCGGTGAGGGGCGGGGCCAACGGAGGGGGACGGGGCTAAAGGGGGCGTGACCAATGGGGAGCGGGTGCGGTGGCGAAGGAGCGCGGCTATAGGAGGAGGCGCCTGCAGAGATTGGAGGGGGCGTGGTTTGTTGCGGGGGGGCGTGGCTTTGCTGACGCTGTCGCTCCGCCCCAGACTGTTACATCATCGTGGGAGCGCAACGTGATTCGCTGGGCCCCGGGGCGGCGGCGTCGGGGGTGGGCACCGCGCTGCTGCTGGAGCTGGCCCGGTTCTTCGCTGCCATTGGGCGGGACGGTGAGGGGCGGGGCCAAGGAGGGGCCGGACCAATGGGGGGGAAAAGGCGGGGCTTGACCCCCATTTCTCTGTGGTTTAAAAGCCACCGGATGCTTTGAGCTGGCTCCCCCCTGGGGTCCCTTCACCCATGGGTGCCCCCCCCATGACCCATGTGACCCATTCACCCCCAATGGTCCCCCCTGTGACCCATGGGTGCTCCCCTTCACCCATTCACCCTCAATGGGTGGCCCCCCCCATGACCCATGTGACCCATTCACCCCCAATGGTTGCCCCCCTGTGACCCATGGGTGCTCCCCATCACCCATTCACCCTCAATGGGTGGCCTCCCATGACCCAGGTGTGTCCCCATGACCCATTCACCCCCAATGGTTGCCCCCCTGTGACCCATGGGTGCTCCCCTTCACCCATTCACCCTCAATGGGTGCCCCCCCATGACCCATGGGTGCCCCCTGTGACCCATTCACCTTCAATGGGTGCCCCCCCCCCGACTAATGGTTGCCCCCCGTGACCCATTCACCCCCAATGGGCGCCCCCCTGACCGTGGGTGCCCACCCCATAACCCATGGCCTCCCCCAGGGTTCCAGCTCCGCCGCTCGCTGCTCTTCGTCAGTTGGGATGGGGGCGAATTCGGGCACTTGGGGGCCACCGAATGGCTCGAGGTGAGAGCCCCCCCCCCCCCCATGACTCCCCCCATAACCCCCCCCCATGACCCCCCCTGTAACCCCCGTGCCCCCCCAGGGGTACCCCGACCTCCTGCACACCAAAGCCGCCGCTTACATCAGCCTGGACCAGGCGGTGCTGGGTGAGCCCCTCCCCCCGTGACCCCCCCCCCTTGACCCCCATTGACCTCAGTGACACCCCCCACCCCCCCCCCCAGGTGCTGACCGCTTGGTGGCCAAAACCAGCCCGACCCTGGTGAACCTCATCGAGAGCGCGCTCAGCCAGGTGGGGGAGGGGCGGCGGGAGGTGGGGGGAGGGGCAGGGGGGGAAGGGCCCCTCTGACCCCCCTCCCCCCCCATTGCAGGTGGAAAGCCCCAACGAGGGCGGGAAGAGCCTCCTGGAGCAGGTGACGCGGCCGGGGCGGGGCTGGGAGAGTGACGTGTGAGTGAGGGGGCGGGGCCAGGGGGAGGCCACGCCCCCTCCGTGCTGCGGGGCGGGGCTCAGTGACGTCAGGGTCCCCACGTGTCTGTGTTCGGGGTGTGGGGGGCAGGATCCGGCCGCTGCCCCCCGAGAGCGGAGCCTTCCCCTTCACTGCGGCCGCCGGGGTCCCTGCGCTGGAGCTCGGCTTCGATGAGGTGGAACCGGGGCCCATAGCCCATAGAAACACATCCCATAGAAACACATCCCATAACCTATAGAGATACATCCCATAACCCATAGAAACACATCCCATAACCCTTAGAGATACATCCCATAACCCATAGAGATACATCCCATAACCCATAGAAACACATCCCGTAACCCATAGAGATACATCCCATAACCCATAGAAACACATCCCATAACCCATAGAGATACATCCCATAACCCATAGAGATACATCCCATAACCCATAGAAACACATCCCATAACCCATAGAGATACGTCCCATAACCCATAGAGATACATCCCATAACCCATAGAAACACATCCCATAACCCATAGAGATACATCCCATAACCCATAGAAACACATCCCATAGAAACACATCCCCTAACCCATAGAGATACATCCCATAACCCATAGAGATACATCCCATAACCCATAGAGATACATCCCATAACCCATAGAGATACATCCCATAACCCATAGAGATACATCCCATAACCCATAGAAACACATCCCATAACCCATAGAGATACATCCCATAGCCCATAGAAACACAAAGACCCTATACACCCATACCCCCATACTCCATATCCCATACCCTATACCCCATACACCAATACCATACCCCCATATCCCATACCCTATACCCCATACCCCATATCCAGTACCCTATATCCCATACCCTATATCCAGTACCCTATACCCCATACCCCTTACCATACCCATCCACACCCCATACCCTATACCCCATACCCCATATCCAGTACCCTATACCCCATACCCAGTACCCTATACCCCATACCCCATATCCCATACCCTATACCCCATACCCCATATCCAGTACCCTATACCCCATACCCTTACCATACCCATCCACACCCCATACCCTATATCCCATACCCCATATCCAGTACCCTATACCCCATACCCCATATCCAGTACCCTATACCCCATATCCAGTACCCTATACCCTATATCCAGTACCCTATACCCCATATCCAGTACCCTATACCCTATACCCTATATCCAGTACCCTATACCCCATATCCAGTACCCTATACCCCATATCCAGTACCCTATACCCCATATCCAGTACCCTATACCCCATATCCAGTACCCTATACCCCATACCCTTACCATACCCATCCACACCCCATACCCCCCCCATGCACCCACCCCACGTCCCCCCTGTGGCGCAGGCCCCGGGCGGGCGCAGCCGCGCGGCGCTGGGCACAGCCGAGGACACGCTGGGGCGCCTGCAGAGGCGGCTGCGGGGCCGGTGGCCGGCGGTGACGCGCGCGGTGGCCGCGGTGGCCGCTCAGCTCCTGCTGCGCCTGGGCCACGACCCCCGGCTCCCGCTCGACCCCGGAGCGCTCGGGGACGCGCTCCTGAGGCGCCTGGCACCGCTGCAGGTGCTCGGGGGGCAGTGGGGGGGACGGGGGGGAACAGGGGGCACTGGGGGAATGGGGGGAATGGGGGTAATGGGGTGTAATGGGGGAATGGGGGCAATGGGGTAATGGGGTGTGATGGGGGAATGGGGTGTAATGGGGTCAATGAGGTAATGGGGTCAATGAGGATAATGGGGGTGATGGGGGTAATGTGAGTAAGGGGGGCAATGGGGGTAATGGGGACTATGGGGAAAATGGGGGCAATGGGGGTGATGGAAATGGGGATAAATGGGGGCAATGGGGGTAATGGGGTGATGGGGGGTAATGGGGGCAGTGGGGGTGGTTGAGGGGAATGGGGGCAATGGTGGCCATGGAGTGCAGTGGAGGTAGTAGGGACAGTGAGGGGCAATGGGTGTCAATGGGAGGTAATGGGGCAATGGGGTCAATGGAGTCAATGGTTGCCCCACATCCCCACCCCCCCCCCCCCATGCGCGGTGCCCCAGGCTCGGGGCCTGTCCCTGCAGTGCCTCTCCTCTGCCCGCGGCGACGTCGTCCGCGCCGCCGAGCGCCTGCGCCAGGACATGGCCGGCGCCGACGCCTCCAACGAGCGCCTCAACCGCGGCTTCAACGCCCGCATCATGGCCGTGAGTGAGCCCTATTGCGCCGGTCCCCATCCTACTGACTGCATCCCGGTCCCCATTATCCCTGTGTCCCCATTGCCCCGGTCCCCATCCCACTGACTGCATCCTGGTCCCCATTATCCCTGTGTCCCCCCTGTCCCTGTCCCCATCCCATTGACTGCATCCCGGTCCCCATCATCCCTGTGTCCCCACTGTCCCTGTCCCCATCCCATTGACTGCATCCCGGTCCCCATTATCCCTGTGTCCCACTGTCCCTGTCCCAATCCCATTGACTGCATCCCAGTCCCCATTATCCCTGTGTCCCCATTGTCCCTGTCCCCATCCCATTGATTGCATCCCAATCCCCATTATCCCTGTGTCCCCACTGTCCCTGTCCCATCCCATTGACTGCATCCCGGTCCCCATTATCCCTGTGTCCCCCCTGTCCCTGTCCCCATCCCATTGACTGCATCCCGGTCCCCATTATCCCTGTGTCCCCATTGTCCCTGTCCCCATCCCATTGACTGCATCCTGGTCCCCATTATCCCTGTGTCCCCACTGTCCCTGTCCCCATCCCATTGACTGCATCCTGGTCCCCATTATCCCTGTGTCCCCACTGTCCCTGTCCCCATCCCATTGACTGCATCCCAGTCCCCATTATCCCTGTATCCCCACTGTCCCTGTCCCCATCCCATTGACTGCATCCTGGTCCCCATTATCCCTGTGTCCCCACTGTCCCTGTCCCAATCCCATTGACTGCATCCTGGTCCCCATTATCTCTGTCCCTGTTGCCCCAGTCCCCATCCCATTGACTGCGTCCCTGTCCCCATTGTCCCTGTCCCCGTCCCATTGACTTCATCCCAATCTTTATCGTCCTTTTCTCCATTGTCCCTGTCCCCATTGTCCCTGTCCCCATTTTCCCTGTCCCCATTGTCCCTGCCCCATACAATTGACTGCATCCCAATCCGTATCGTCCCTGTCCCCATTGTCCCTATCCCAACCCCCCTGACCATGTCCCTGTACCCACTGACCATGTCCATGTCCCCATCCCTATCCCATTGACTCCATCCTCACCCCATTGACACCATCCCTGTCCCCACTGACCCCATCCCCATTGACCCCATCCCCATTGACCCCATCCCCACCCCATTGACCCCACCCCATTGACCCCGTTCGCACCCCACTGACCCAATCCCCACCCCATTGACCCCGATCCCACCCTACTGACCCCACTGACCCCACACCATTGACGCCATCCTCACCCCACTGACCCGGTTCTCACCCCACTGACCCCGTCCCCAGGCCGAGGCCTCCCTCCTGTCCCCCTTCGTGTCCCCGCTGGTGGCCCCGTTCCGCCACGTGCTGCTGGGCCGGGGGGGGCACACGCTGCCGGCGCTGGGGGCGCAGCTGGGGCCGGGGGGGGGCAGCGGCCGCCTCCGCCTGCGCCTGGCGCTGCTGGCCTGGACCCTGCAGGGCACGGCCGGGGCCTTGGCCGGGGACGCCTGGGACCGGGGGGGGATCGGGAGCCCTGGGGGCATGGGGGGCAATGGGGACTATGGGGGTAATGGGGGCATTGGAGGCAATGGGGGCATTGGGGGTAATGGGGGCATTGGAGGCAATGGGGACTATGGGGGCAATGGGGGCTATGGGGATGCTTGGGTTGATGGGGGCCTTGGGGACCACAGTGATGCTTGGGAGCAGGGGGAGACCTGGAGCTATGGGGACAATGGGGGCTATGGGGGCATCGGGGACTATGGGGACAATGGGGGCTATGGGGGCATTGGGGACTATGGGGGCAATGGGGCCAATGGGAGCTATGAGGTCTATGGGGATGCTTCAGTTGAGGGTGGCCTTGGGGACCCCATGGGGACAGTGGGACCCCCATGAGCTGAAGGGGTGGGGGCTCCTCTTAGCCCCACCCCTAATTTGCATAATGTGGATTTTGGGCCAAATAAAACACTCGGAAACAGGCAAGTCAAAACCAAATTGAGATGATGATGATGCTCTGGGGGGGCCCGGCCCCCCGACCTGGCCCAGCCCCCATCAGGTCACTGCCGATGACGTCATGGCACAGGCCCCGCCCACATTCCCATGACATCACCCCCTCCTTAGCCCCTATGAGGGTCTATGGGGGGCTATGGGGCAGGGGGGGCGTCAGAAGTTGGGGTCTGCCTTGGGGGGGCTCTGCAGGCTCTGGGCCCTGGGCAGGGGCACCCCCATCTGCAGCAGGTCCCTGTGGGGAGATGGGGGTCACATGGAGCCAGGGTTCCCCCATATCACCCATAACCCCCATATCCCACATACCTCCTATACCCCCATAACCCTTTTACCCCCCATACCCCCCCAATCCCCATAGCCCCCGTACCCCCCATATTCCCCATACCCCCTATATCCTCCATACCCCCCATACCCCCCATATCCCCCATAGCTCCTATATCCCCCATACCCCCCATATCCCCCATACCCCCTATACCCCCATACCCGCCATGCCCCCTATATCCCCCACAGCCCCCATACCCCCCATATCCCCCATAGCTCCTATATCCCCCATACCCCCCATAGCCCCCATACCCCCTTTACCCCATACCCGCCATGCCCCCCATATCCCCCATACCCCCTATACCCCCATACCCGCCATGCCCCCCATATCCCCCATATCCCCCATACCCCATACCCCCCATCTCCCCAAATCTCCCTCACTCCCCTCTCACCGCGGCAGCAGCTCCACGCCGGTGACGCCGGCGCCATCGGAGCCCTCCTTGAGCTGCAGCGTCCGGAGCCATTCCCCAACCGCGGCAAAGGGGGGACCCATGGGGGGGCTGCCTGCATCCGGGCTGGGAAGGGGGCAATGGGGAGGGCTCAGCTCCACAGAGCCCCATAACCCCTCCCCATGGCCCCCCATTGCCCCCCCCCCAGTGCCCGGTACCTGTGGTGGCCGCGCAGCGCCGGCGGGTGCCGGATGAGGCGGTCGAGGGCGCTGACGAGCGCGGGGAAGCGCGGGCGCGCGCGGGGGTCCCGGCGCCAGCAGTCGAGCATGAGGCGGTGCAGGGCGGGCGGGCACCGCGGCGGCCGCGGCAGCCGGTACCCGTGCTCGATGGCGCGGATCACCTGCGGCCGCCGTTGAGCCATAGGGATCCATTGACCATGGGGATCCCATTGAGCCATAGGGATCCATTGACCATGGGGATCCCGTTGAGCCATAGGGATCCCATTGAGCCATAGGGATCCATTGACCATGGGGATCCCATTGACCATGGGGATCCCATTGAGCCATAGGGATCCATTGACCATGAGGATCCCGTTGAGCCATAGGGATCCCGTTGAGCCATAGGGATCCATTGACCATGGGGATCCCGTTGAGCCATAGGGATGCATTGACCATGGGGATCCCATTGACCATAGTGATCCCATAGAGCCATAGGGATCCCATTGACCATAGGGATCCCATTGAGCCATACGGACCCACTGAGCCATACGGACCCACTGAGCCATACGGATCCCATTGAGCCATAAGGATCCATTGACCCACAGGGAATCCATTGAGCCATAGGGATCCATTGAGCCATAGGGATCCTGCTGCCCCATAGGCCCCCTATTGCCCCATAGGGCCCCCATTGTCCATAGGGACCCCATTGCCTCATCCATTGCCCCATAGCCCCCATTGTCCCATAGGCCCCCATTGCCCTGTAGCCTCCCATTGCCCCATAGGTCCCCATTGCCCCGTAGCCCCCCATTGCCCCATAGCCACATTGCCCATAGGGGCCCCGAGCAGTGACTCACATCCTGGTTGGACATGTCCCAGTAGGGCCGCTCTCCGAAGGACATCACCTCCCACATGACGATGCCGTAGCTCCAGGCGTCGCTGGCGGACGTGAACTTCCG